AATTGGGCCTCCGGTAACCTCACTCACACGACGAAACACAACGCAAGCGTTGCTTCACGTCGGTTTTCTGTGAGGCCGTAGTATCACTCCGGTCGAGCCGGCCCATTCGTGCCGAAGCATGGCTCTCCCACACTTTTTTGTTTGTAAACACATCCATGATCCTAATGTGTAATAACGTATAAAAAGAATTGATGGTATAGAATAAAGAATAGCCATAGTTAACTGTGATCTCTTTTCATCGAAGAACAATGATAATACACACATATAAAATATTCACGTCATGCTTTGTGTATGTATGTTTTGTTGGATATTTTAATGAATTATGTGGTTTGTCACCATGAATTTGCGGTCAAAGGTTATTCGATAGTTTACGATGACTAATTGTTAGTATGACACGACTACATAAGTCACTGACTAATTTAAGCGGTAGTGTTGCCAAGTGCAACTGCTAAATTATTAAAAGAAATTTGAACCCATGAATAGTCAGAATTGTTTTCTACAACCACTTCAAATGCATAAAAGCTAACGACACATTTTCAAGAAAAAAATAAAAATGTCTATATCGATTTATTTTTGTCCTTTCCATCCTTTTCTAAATAGAAATAGGTCCTACCCACGCAATCAAACAATGAAATGAATAAACAATTAGATAATAAGATAAACGAAATAAACATGTTTCTTATATTGCAATACTAGTCCGCCACTTCGTACGCGCAATCCCGTTTTCTCCCGTAGGATTTTCAAGATTTTTTCTGTTTTAAATGCCTAATAATAACAAATACAACAATAAAGAATTAGTGAAATCGGTCCAGTCATACACGCGTGATGTCCGTGACCTAGGGAAAAAGGGATTCATTTTTATATATATAGATAGATAGCTATATTGCAATATCGTTAGTATGTACATATATCTATAGTTTATTGACTATGTTAATCCAATAGGAATAATATTGTTTTATTTATATTACAGACTGCGGCCACCGTAATTGCTCGGAGAACAAGTTCCAATGTGACAATGGCCACTGTATTGAGAAGCGGTGGTTGTGTGACGGAGACAACGACTGTAAGGATGGATCTGATGAACGGAACTGCACGGTAAGCTTAATTTAATATATTGAGAAGGTGTAATCCTCCCCAATCCTCCATCCATCCCTCATCATCCCGACCCCTTTAGTGTTTTGACGTTTTTGTAACTAATATACACAAAAACCCAAAAATTTTCGCATTTATAATATGTATTAGTAAGACCTAGAGAACTGGCACGCAACACGAAAAAATAACCAAACAAAACTCAATATTTGTTAACTTTTCATTTAAATTAATTTAGCAGTACAACTAAGAAATTTCACGAAGCATCTCCCATTTATCTGAACAACGATTTAAAAAACATAATAGCGTGCGCTCGGCTATTAATCGGTAATTTCACAATGTCGCGTATCTGTCAGGATGGCCGAGCGGTCTAAGGCGCCAGACTCAAGGTTCCCTTGCTCACTAAACGTGGGTTCGAGTTGTTCTGGTCCTCTCTGAGGGCGTGGGTTCGAATCCCACTTCTGACAAACTTTTTGTTAATGTTTTTCGCATTTTTGTGCATTTATTTTCATTTTAATGTTCTTTATTTTATAATTTTGTTTGAAATGTATGCTAAATATTTTGTATACATATTTTTTTCGTTGGAAAACACATGATAGTTCCCAGTAATTAATGAGATAATTTAACATGATTCATAGTTTATTGTAATTACAATGTAATTTATCAAGTTTCGACATTGTTGTGTTTAGTTTTTATTGTGATACTGACACCGTGTTGTTAGTGTCAAATGATGATTGTATGTCATTAAAGTATACTGTTACCAAGTCGCGTGTGAACCCTGGCCCTGTATTTTTTTAATAAGGATCCGGGAGTTGACCACTTTTTAAAAATAAATTTGAGCGCTTCAGGGTTTATCAATAATACCCACAAATTAATAATTTATTCGTTATTACGCCTTTGAATTTCATTTTTTTTTATTGAAATCGAAATAGGTCACTAAACGCGGCATTATAGTCACGTGATCACGCATTACGTCATCGTTCAAAAAACAAAACAAGTGTCTATGTACTGTTGTGCTATGCAAAGTGATTTCGCTAGAAGATTAAAAATTAAATAAATTAGATTCAATTGTTAAAAAGTAACATTTATGAGAGTAGACATGTGGGTTTTGTTCCTGTTCGTTCGTAATATCAACCTTAAAAACAATAAAGAAACATGAATAGTCATGTAACGTTCCGTTACAATGAGTAATTATTATTAATGATTGTTCTCTGTGTGGTTATTATGAAAAAAAAAAAGAACTTGAAATGATTATAATTATAGTTTTATTTATTAACTAGCAGCCCGTCTCGGCTTCGCACGGGCTAGACAATTATTTATTTTTGGAAATTTGGATATAAAACACTTTTTTTTGACAAATATTTTTATTTATTAAAAAAATGTTTTAAAAATTGTCGGACCGTTTTTTCGAGCACACAGATTGTTGTTCTAAAGACACAGCCAATGGTAATTTAAATGTAGAATGAGCAGTCTTTTCATCATTTAATTGGGTTGCAGCAATTCCGGACGATGCCACTGCGACAGCTTTTTTCCAGATTGACGTACTTTTGCCAACACTAAATTGGCAAGGAAGGTTTTGCCTGTTCCACCGGGCGCGTCCAAAAAAAAACAGTTAAAAACAGAGGAATAGTTAAGTAATATACGTTGTCTCCTGATACGAACATTAGCAGAAATTGTAACGGATCATAAGCTCTTTGCAATTCCGACACTCGCTTCAGCTGCCCGTCTCTACCGTGCAGCACTATATCTCTGGGGTCTTTGTTTTCATCAACCAAGAGAACGGCCACTTCGTTGACGGAAGGCGCATTGTATCTGCGTCGGTGTTCTGCTAGAGGTGTGCGGTCAGCATGAATAATTAATTTTTAATTCTCTGGAGATGTCGATTCGATACTTTGTTTAAAACTTCTTATGCAAAACGTTTGACTGACTATTCGACATGGTCTGCAATTCGTTGATCAAATCCAGTTTTAGCATAGGAGCCATGTTAGAGCGCAAAGATAGTTGGTCAGCATTGGAAATAAAATATATCTGCAGAAATGCTATGAGGTGATAAACCTATCCCTCTACTTTAAAGGTTGGCATGAAATTCCCCTCCCTAATTTCTATCGCCCCGAACGATGTCATCTGAAACAGTTATTTTAAAGATGTGCGTTTTTTAAAAAATGCGCGGATAGTGTACTATTGTTCGTCAGAAGGCTTTTGATTGGTTCTGGAGGCTCTACGATACTGGGAAGTGTTACTTTTCCAGCCGCGCAACGGCGCAACACATATCAATTGCTTCGTCTCTCTATTTTTTCGCGGAACATTTAGACCATATCTTTTCCATCGCTCCAATTTGAATGCTGTTTTGATCGGCGTAGTTAATTTGTGGATCGTAGTTGAATGCCGGTCTATTGCTGTGAGCTGAAATCCCATCACCCCTTCTAATTGCTACTGCACGATGTCTCTCTCTCTGTGCCGTAAGTCGTTGCGAGCGGTCACCGCTAGACTCTCGGGCACGTGCTTGTAGTTTCTGGATCTCAGTCCAGCAAGCCGCTGCGAGCGTTCGGTGCTAGATTCTCTGGCACGTGCCCGCGAGTCTCTATCTCTGTTTCCAGCAAAGCGTTGTAAACGTTCGGAGCTCGACTTTCGTTCGTAAATCTGAGAAGATCGTTCATTTTGTTCTGCAAGGTGAAGTGAGCGATCGACACTGCACTCTTTTGCCCGTGTTTGCGAAATTCTTGTTCGATTTTCGTCAAGGCGTTGTACGCGTTCTGCGCTCGACTGTCTTTCGCGAACCTCTGACGATCTGACATTTTGATTTGCAAGACGAATCGAACGATCGGCGCTGCTTTCCCTTGCGCGAGCTCGCGAGGTTTGCTCTCTATTCTCAGCAAGTCGCTGCGAGCGTTCGGCGCTAGATTCTCTGGCCCCTGATTGTAATGCATCTCTTTGACTTTCGAGTCGATCAGAATATTCTGAAGATGATTCCCTAACACGCCGAATCTTTGATAATCTCGCTTGGGAGCTATGTTGAGATAATTGAGACCTTTTTTTTAGGCTTAATTGTTTGAAAGTTTTGGTTTTCAAGTAAAATAAATCAGAATTAATTTGATTATAATGTGAACAGTTTATTGATTAGAAGTTTTCATAAAAAAATACATACCTACAATACTTAAATAGGTGCTTTAAAAAGAGTGTGACACTGCTATAAAAATAAACTGTCAAGGTTTAATCAAGTAATTTATGCGCAGTTTTGAAAATTACTCCTAATCGATAGAAAGAAAATCTGCTCTCTCTGAAATGTGTTCTATTTAAATCTAAATGATGTAACGTTTAGATCGGTAGCGTCTGCTGCCCCCTCCACCCCGCCCGCCGCGCTTTTCAGACTGCATCGCAAACAACGGCCACGGCGCTATGGCGGTTTTGTTTACTGTTTGAATTTTTTAATTCGTAATATCTTTTGAATGGAAAGTCCAATTTAATTAATTTAAAAACTATTTTATATGTAGTTAAATGGTCTTGACCATAAAACAATTTATTTGGATAAGGATTAATATAAACACATAAATAGCATGGTTTGAATTTGGTTAGCATTTTCATTAATGTTTAAAATGAAAAAAGTTGTTGTAGTGACATAACTACAATAGTTGGACATATGCTACCGCGAAATTTTTTGTAGACATTATGATGTTCTTCAATATTGTTGTACATTATTTTGTTCTATCGCTAATAGTTTCGCAGCGCATTCGACGAAAGACATTTTAAGACTCATTTTTCTACACCTTCGGTTACATTGTTCAAATTTTACCAAGGATCCCTAATTTTTTTCAAAATAAAATGTCAAATTGGAAGAATGTAGCATTCTATTGAAAGAATTTTTTAAATCGGCCCAGTACTTTTTGAGCCTATTCATTACAAACATACAAAAAATAGGTACAAATCTTTCCTCTTTATAATATTAGTGTAGATGTAGATAAGTAACTCTAGCATACATTAGCAGGGTATACATTTCCCTTCCAAAAGTTGACAACACCCAATATTACATTTCTTGAATACATTTCATTGTATTTGACATCTATTATTTGCACTTTTCTATTTGTTTCAAAAGAAATGTCTGCAATACAAAAATAACATTTTCGAATCCCTGTGATAGGCATTTGCATCTGTACGTGTTAGTACCTAATACATACTTTTCTGTCACATTTCCTTCTTGAATATAGTTACTTTAATATTTCTGTATTCAGAAGAACAGAAATCCGAACTTGTGGCAAAATAGTTTGCCACTATAGGAGCGTCTATTTTGGGTAAGTTCGTACTATCACCTTTTAGAAATCTCTTCTCCATTGCTTTATCACTACTTTTTCCTTATTTAACAATATTTCCAACGTTTTCTTTCTTTATTAATTGTAGTAACGGAAAACGCTAGCCAACAAGAAAAATAACCTATAAGTACATGTTGTATATAAACTGTCATTGTCAATTTGCACGATGACGTAACTGTTTCTGAGATCACGTGACTTACAGATAATGAAATCCTACTTTTCTCAAAGGAAAATAAAATAAATAAATAAATATTTTTTCTATATTTATATAGTTTTAGACTTCCTATTAAATAGTTTTTTAAATTTGATAAAATTTTAAAGATACTGTCAACTAGCGGATTGGGTCAACATTTTCGTAGCCAAAAACTCTACAAATATTGAGATTTATTTATGTTCCACTATAAAAGTTTATAATTATTAAATTAAAATTAAATTCTTTATATAATTCCACTACATTTTTTTGTACACATCAAAGGCGTAAAATGAATATGGATTATTTATTTAAAATAATACTAATACACTAACATTATTATTTAGTTTCTTTTACAAATAATTAATCTTTACATATTTTATTAAGACTTTAATTGTAGCTGCAATGTTTATTTTAATGTTCAACAGATTCAAACCAAACGTCCAGATATAGTGGAAAGTTGTTCTGGCAACGGTTTCGCGTGCAGCAATGACAGCAGTATGTGTATCCCTAACTCGTGGGTGTGCGACGGGGAGAAGGATTGTGACAATGGAGAGGATGAGAATGAACAGCGGTGCAAGGACTCCACCTGCGCCCCTTACATGTTCCGGTGTCCCAGCGGCAAATGTATATTCAAATCTTGGGTGAGTTACTTACATACCTTCTAAATAATCTTTAACTTGCACACGTATGTAAAATCTCATTCAGCTATATCTCTACACTTTCCTTTCAAACAAAATTGTGCCCTAATTATACTAAGTTAAGTATTTAAGTGAAACCACGGCCTCACAGAATATCATCGTGAAGTTTGCTATAAAAAGTAACTATTTCTATATGAGAACAATTTCTGTACTTTTAACATGATTATATTTTATCTAGGTCTGCGACGGTGAAAACGACTGCGGCGACGAGCACTCCTCAGACGAGAAGAACTGTTCAAGTTCTCAGCATTCTAAATTGCTCCCTATCCCTGGCACAGAAAAGCCTAATTTCTCTAGCAATGAGAGGTGTTTACAGTGGATGTTTAAATGTGACAATGGAAACTGTATGCCGGACTGGTGGAGATGTGATGGTATCGATGATTGCGGAGACAAGTCCGACGAGACCGGCTGTGGATTTGACATGCCACCATCTGAGTTGGTCCCAGTCATCCGTGACCATACTCCGGTTGTTAAGAGGTGTGGCAAGAATGACTTCACTTGTGCACCTGGTATGTTGGTAAACTTGTTTCTTTTTATATTATAATTGCCTTAAATAAGAAACTAATTTTGACATCTTAGATAGATGTTTAGCCGCTATAACCTATTATGAATGTCCACATAAGAAATGGAACAATCGAATTCTTAAAACTACTATTATTAATTTTTTACTACATTACCCATAGTACTTTGCTTTACTTAGATTATTATTAGTTCAGTTATTTGGTATTTCTACCTGGAATGTTTTCCGGGAGTTTTGAAAATTGACTTTTTTGTAGATCTTGATATTATGCTGTTTCCTTTTTCCATTTTGCACCCTCCTACGTGCGCCACTCGTGCCGCCATCTTGGAAAAATGGCGACCAAAAACAGTTTTTTACAATATTTCTTTTTATGTGCGATTTACGAGAAAAACGTTAAGTATAAAATTAAACGACTTCCAATTTTGTATAATTTGTGTTTAAACAACTTTTTTTAGTAGTAATAAGTAGTTTTGGCACCAGAGCTGAGTAATGTAAATTTTTATAGCATTTTGGGGAAAAAAAATTATCCTGTAAAATTCAGCCAATATTTGTAATATGTTGGAGTATACCGCGGCAGGTCGCTGCATCCCGCTGAGCTGGGTGTGCGACGGGGCGGCGGACTGCGAGGACGGGTCGGACGAGCAGTCGTGCCGCGGCCACAGCGCGCCGCCGCCGCGCTGCGGGCCCGACCGCACGCCGTGCCGGGGCGGCGCCGCCTGCGTGCTCACCGAACAACTCTGTGACGGCGTCTTCCACTGCGACGACAAGAGCGACGAGATGAACTGTCCTGGCACGTCTGTAAGTACCTGCTGTAATATTACTGGACAAACTGTATTTTTGCTCCCTAGTTGGAGCTAGTGTGGATCACTCTGAAATGAAAAATAAAATGAATTTTATTAACAAATAAAGGATAAGTTTGTTTTCTTTTTATGAATACAATTTTATTTTCCAGACTCGCAAGCCAACAGTGGAATGTGAGCGCGGCTACTTGATGTGTGACGACGGAACCAACTGCGTGCCGCAGGTCAGCGTCTGCAACGGACGACAGGACTGCTACGACGGCAGCGACGAACTCAACTGTACCAGCGACCTTAACGATAATACTCATGTCTACCAGGTTAGTAACACATTTCCAACTACTTCATGTTACTTAAGGCAACTATACAATCTAGTTAAATAGAATTTGGGTATATTTAATGACATATCTTACATCGAAAATTGTATCTATTCGTTACATCTGAATACAGTGCGATTTCTGAGATAAGTCAAGGTGTATTTTTTTATGATCTTGATGTTTACCATGGTAGTGGAGAGATGGTAAATTCTGGTGAATGCATTATTTAACATTATTTATTATACATATTGCCAGAGATCACACTCCCAGAGTATGTGATGGGCCGACTGGCAATATGAACGTAACACTATGTTAAATAATTTAATTGTTTCGTCAGGTGTAGTTTATTATACGGACCTTGTGGAATCTAGAACGAATTTCCGTGCGTTTAGGCGTTTTTGCCATACCTATTATTGGAAGCAAGTATAACAGCTCACACATAGGACCCACTTAGTTTTTAGTCAAATTTCCGTGGTGCTTGGCGACTGGGCTTCACCCAGTTGTACAGTCTCTTCTTTGTGCCTTTAGGCTTAATTCATTCTGTCTCCTGCAGTAATTCACCGAGGGAAGTGGAAACTATAGTTTTTTCTTTTTCTCCTCTTATAATATCTTCTGATTCACTTCGTTGCGGGAACCATGACAGTTACTCATGTCGCTGGGACGCGCCGGACTTCAGTGTTCCGGTGTTTTCATGGTTGTATCTACTGTAGATCCTGGCTTACATAAGTTGCAGCGGTTTTGGGAGGTTGTGGCGGGCTTGTCCCATTTAAAAAAAAATAATATTTATTATACAGCTTACATACATAACCGTTTGACGAGGTAACTGGACTAAGTAGTTGAGTCACGCTAGGAGCTTAAAATCTCGCGACGTTCACTGTGTTGTGTGTCGCTCAATACTTATTGCTTAAATGATTATGAGTCCCTAGCTTGGTGACTTGAAACTAAGTAAATTGAGATTGAGCTAGCTGTTAAGGTGAACGCATACTTATCCGCACCGAACGCGTCGAACCGTCCGAATCAGATGTGTGCAAGGTATCATGAGATTTAATATACATTATTCTAAAATTCATTTCGTTCGACGCGTTCGACGCGGTCGGCTTGGACAAGTGTGCTTTCTCTTTAATACATACTTATACCTACAGTCTCACGAGAATTATAATCAATCTCCATGATTGTTTGCACAGTTCCTGAGCATTGGCGTGGACCAATCTTCTATAAACTCGACGAGTTTCCTGATCTCTTGTTGGATGGCGCAGCAGAAGATGGTGCTGTATAGCTTCCTACCTTCCATCTCTAAAGTCAGCGACGGAGTGTGGCTCAACAAGACTTGGACCAACGACAGCATTTACAGGTATTTACAACAATATTTGTTAGTCGTATGTTGACGACAGAGTAATATATGTCATCATCCCTATTATCTAGGGGTTTTGTAAAAACCTACTATGGGATTTTACATCATTATTTAACAGAAGCCGGACAACAGCGTTCTTTGATAAACCTGATACTTTTAAACTGCAATCTCTAATTTACCTGCCAAATGTGAAAATTATGGCAAACCTCTTGTTTAGGAAGTTTGCATTGTTGGGATTTTTTTTTTTTTTTTTTTTTT